AGGACTTAAACACACACACACACACACACACGCGCGCGCGCGCGCCTCACACACATAGAAGCAGTATCCCGCAGAAAAACCTGTGGGTGCTGATCAAACTCGGTGCCAGTTGCTTAGTAAGAATCTTAGATAATATTGTGATTTTTAATATTTTGTTCTTCCATTGACTATTTTTTTTTTTTTTTTTTTGTCTTTTGTCTTTTTCCGTGTCCGGCAATGGATCGCAACCCTCAGTGTTGCCCCCGTACCGGACCGGGGACCGGCAACGGGATTGCAACCCTCGGTGTTGCTCCCGCGCCTTGCTCAGCCAGTGAGCGGGAACCGGTCTGTATGTGGGATCCGAACCCTCAGGCGGGAGCGCCGCCGTGCTTCCCAAGCGGCGCACTATCCAGTGCGCCACCGGGCCGGCCCCTTCCATTGACTTTTTTGAAAAAGATCTGAAAGGAAATTTTACTCACATAGCAGAAGATATTCCTTTTAATTGCAAAAGATCTCCTTAATTAGTGTGGAAGGCTAATTGGTGAAAAGCTGGCTAGATTTCAGAATAGTCTTATTGCTTCCTCAGGGAAACTGCTTGAAAGCCAGATCCAAGTTGACTTTTTGTTGAACATGTTCACTTTCTAGACAAGAAGCTGCTGAGCAGATCCCTCATTCAGAAATCTTACTTTTCAAGTTGCTGTTAAAGCAAATGGGTGTCAAGGTCCTGTTCTGTCAGATGGTGGTTAAACTCTCTAACTGCAGCACAGTAGACCCCAAGAGCCTGTGTACAGTGACAGGGCACTCAGTGGGCTTTAGTGTCTGTTGTCTTTATGAGTGGCACTAATGGTTGACTATCTTTCAGCTTTCATGACGCTGGTTATCATATTGCTGCACGTGTTCTGGGGCATTGTATTTTTTGATGGCTGTGAGAAGAAAAAGTGGTACACCCTTTTTATAGTTCTCGTAACCCATCTACTGGTGTCAGCCCAGGTGAGTATTGCCACCATGCTCAAACTGTTTTTTGAAGCTCAAGTCCATACATCTAAAGTGGTAGATTCTAGGGCTGGCCCGTGGCTCACTTGGGAGAGCATGGTGCTGACAACACCAAGTCAAGGGTTAAGATCCCTTTACCAGTCATCTTTTAAAAAATAAATAAATAAAATAAAATGGTAGATTCTACTCTAAATGAAATACATGTTCATGGGAAAATTAGGAAATTTAGAAAAGTCATTTAAATAAATGAATGAGTCCTCTAAGTTTTACCACAGAAAAACAACCACAATTTTTGGTGGGTCTCATTAAAGATTTTATTCCATGTACCCTTTCTTTTAATGGGTATAGTCAAACCTAAAACAGTCTTGCATTATGCTTATGTTATGGAGCACATCTGAAGCAATTTCCATCTTATTACAAGTCTGTTAAGATATAAATTTTAATAGCTTTATATCATACATGAAAATTATTATAATTTATTTAACTGGTTGATCACTTCTATTTCTTTAGTTATCGTAATGCTGTCTTGAATATCTTCGTGCATGAAACTTTTTCCATCCATTGTTTAGATTTCAAGCCATGAAATTATGAAGTCAAAGGGCATGAATTTTTTTTAAGCACTTGATGAAAATTGCTAAAATACTCTCCATAAGGGTTGTACCATTTTTACTCATTCTGATCAACAACAAGAACATCTATCTCACTCCCTCCTCACTGACGTTATAATAATGCCAGTTTTCAAAATAAAATTTAAAAAAAACCTTGAGGGCTGGCCCCGTGGCTCACTTGGGAGAGTGTGGTGCTGGTAGCACCAAGGCCACAGGTTCGGATCCTATATAGGGATGGCCGGTGCGCTCACTGGCTGAGCGTGGTGCAGACCACACTTTGCTGAGGGTTGTGATCCCCTTATCGGTCAAAAAAAAAAAAAACTTGACTAGATATATTTTGTAAGTACTATTTAATGTTTTGGATCTGGCTTTTATTGTAATTTGTCATATATTTACATCAGAATAACCCCGCACCCCTGCCACTACCTCATCTAGGCTCTTATTAACTTTCACTTCAACTATTGAAAAGTTTCCTCCTGATGGCTTCTTACCTCAGGCTTCTCTCCTCTCCATCCATTTAGGGTTTATATCAGGTTTTCCTACACTGGGCTCCTTGCCCTCTGATCCTTCTAAAATGCTATCTTATGGCCCCACCCCCACCCCCACCACAAACCCACCTAAAACCTTTCAGTGATGCAGGATACTAAACTTACCTTTAATATGATGCCAACTGCGTAAAGCCAAATCTTGTGAAAAAAAGACTGGAAAGGGAATACATTAAAATATTAGCTGGGCCAGCCCCATGGCTCACTCGGGAGAGTGCAGCGCTGGTAGCACCGAGGCTGCGGGTTCGGATCCTATATGGGGATGGCCAGTGCACTCACAGGCTGAGCGTGGTACAGACCACACTGTGCCGAGGGTTGTGATCTCCTTACCGGTCAAAAAAATATATATATATATATATATATTAGCTGTGTTTATCTCTGGGTATTGGGATTGTGGATTCTTTTATTCTTTATAGTTTTTGTCATATTCCAAATTGTCTACAACATAGCACTTTTATAATCACAGAGAAAGTTATATGATAAAGCAAATTTCCTTCTTATGGATCCAATTGGCTATTCATTCATTCAACAAATATTCTATTGAGTGCCTTCTGTGTTCCAGACACTGTTCTAGGTGAACAAAACAAAGATTCCTGCCTTTTCAATCCAGTAATCTAGGGGAGAGACAGATAATAAACAATAGACATAATAAATACAAAATTAGTATGTTACAAAGTGATTGGTTTTATGAAAAAAGGAAAAGTAGGGCAGAATAAAGGGATGGAGCTGGGGGAAGAGGATGTCACATTTCTCAATTAGGTGATTATGAAGGTGACAAAAGAACAAAGAAATTTGAACAAAGAAATGAAGTACAGGTGAGGGAGTTGGTTATCTAGCTGTCTGCAGAAGGAGCATCCTGGACTGAACAGCCAGTGCCAATGTTCTAAGATGTGCTTGGCATGTTTCCGGAAGCCAGGGTGGCCAGAGCAGAGTGAGAAAGGGGGAGATTAGTAGGAAATACTGTCAGGGAATTGATGGTGGTAGGGAAATAGGAGGTTGGAAGAGAGATCCACATCTAGATAATGTAAGACTTTGGCTTTTACTCTCAGCAGAATAAGGAGTCATTGTAGGGTGTTGAGAGGGACATGGTCTGGCTCACATTTTGAAAGGCTCACTTTGCTGTGTTGAGAGTAGACTATAGTGGGGGAAGAGATTACAGTCCTCAAGGGAAGGATGGTGAAGACTTGGGTGAGATAACAGTGGAAATTAGGAGAAATGATCATATTCAGGACATATTTTTGAAAGTAGAGCCAACAGTATTTCCTGACAGATTAGGTGAGGCAAATAATGTATAGATGTTGGAATTTCTCAGGGCATAGTCTTGACTTTTCCATTCTCTCTAAATAGCTCCCTGGGAAATCACATTCATGGCCATGGCTTTAAATTCTGTCTATAGGTTGTGTGTCCACATTTTTTTTCTAGCCTAGTCCCCTCCTCTGAGCCCCACACTCATATATCCAGCTGCTTATTTTGAAATCTGCCTTTTGAATTCTCCCTGTGGACTTGATGCCTATTCATCATCTTGAGCTTGGTCTTCCTCAAGTCTTTGTCATCTCATTGAATGGCACCACCGTTTACCTAAAGCCAGAAACATGAGAGTCGTTCTTGTCTTCTCCCCTTCCCTCACATTCAGTCAATCAGCAAGTCCTGTCATTTCATGTTATCCACTCTTCATCTCCATCACCACCACCACCACCCTGGTCTAGGTCACCATCCAGTACAATACTTCCTAACCCTGCTTTCACCATAGCCTCTTTTAATCCATACTCTGCAGTTTTAGAAATCTAAATCAAGTCATTCAGGTCCCCTACTTAAAACCCTTCTATGAGCCTCCATTGCACTGAGGATAAAATCCACATTCCTTAGCAACACATTGTGTAGGTGACTCTGTCTTCCTCTCTGACCTCATCTTGTATGCTTCTCCCTCCACCCCCATACATCATCAATATTGACTCTTCTCAGGTTCGTAGCTGCACCGAGCTCCTTGCCCTCTCGTGGCCTACACAGACAGGGTTGACTCCTCCTACTGTATGTCTCCATTTAAATGCCACTTTCTTAGGGCCTTCCTGGACCACACTAAGTGGATCACTTTGTTCTTACCTATCCTAGTATCATCACAATTATAATTACTCTGTCTTAATACTCATCACAATTTATAATTAATTTGTTTCTTTGTTCATTATCTTCCTTATTAGCATACCAGGGTTCTTCAAAAAGTTTGTGGAAAAATAGAATTAAAAGATAATACAGATCTTTCCATGAACTTTCTGAAGTACCCTTGTATAAGTTCCATTAAAGTAGAGACTTTGGTTTTCGCTATTGCCTAACACAGTACCTCTCAGCATTCCATTAGTGCCTTTTAAGTGAATAAACTTCTGGAACCCACAGCAATTGTGCAGCTGAAAGACAGACGCTCTTCCTTCATGTTCCCTTCAATACTATAGACTCATACTAAAGTAATTTGGACTTGTCTCACTTTCTTGCAAATTCTAAGAGCCAGTTAACACAGAAAAGAATATAAACAGGGCATATTTTATTAGGTTCTGGCTAATGACTACCTTCTAGTGTTGCCATTTGAATAGAGCAAAGCACAGGACCTAGAGGCCACTCTCTGTTGAGTAGATTAGTTCTACTCTGCTACTTTGCAGGTCCTTAACATATGACATGCATCATGTGTTTGGTGAAAGTATTCTATATTTTCCTAATTACCCAGGCTGATTTATTTTTCCTTTGCAGACCTTCCTCAGTCCTTATAATTCAGTAAATCTGGTGTCAGCATATGTAACCATGGTGCTTATGGGCACCTGGGCATTCTTTGTTGCTGGAGGCAGCTGCCGAAGCCTGAAACTCTGCCTGCTCTGCCAAGACAAGGACTTTCTTCTTTACAGCCAGCGCTCCAGATAACATCTGGGAATCAGTACCTCCCCAACAACAGGCTGCGTCTTTAGAGGAAGCACAACTGTGCCTTTTTCTAAAAATCCCTTCTTATGGTAGAATTTAGAAAAACTCAGACTATCTAGATGCAAGTCTCATTCATATGGCTTTCATACAATAGCTCTCCGAAAGGGAGACGTCAGTGGTGCACATTCGAATCACCTGGGTAAACATAACAAAATACTGGTTCTGGGCTCCACCCTCCAGATTTAACTGGCCTGGGCATCTGCTAATGTTTAAAACTTCCCAGGTGGTATGTACAGCCAAGCTGAGAACCATTGGTGTCCAAAAGCAAACTTCCTGAGAACCACAAGTGAATGAGAATCTGGTGTTTAGCTGTCTCCTAACTGAACTTGTGCTGAGCAAGTAAATGTCTAAATGTCAAATCCTGGTTAGCCTTTATCTTTTTAAGTTCTGAAGTCACTAAAGGGCTACTGCCTCTGTGAGCCATTTTCATGTGCTTCATTAATACCATCTTCTGAGAACATGGTAGGCCGTGCTTTTCAATGCAATAGTAAATTGCACTGATTTACTATGCTAACTTAGCCAAAGTAAGATATTGATTAATAAGCTGTATTTTTCTGAAGCTTTTCCATTCTAGGTTTTGCTTTTTGAAGCATGACATTGTTTTTGAGTATAATTCAGTTTCATTAACTAAAAATGATGATTTTCTGACTTCCTTGGTGGGAAGGCATTATAAAAATCAAGAATTTTTTTTTTAAATCGAGAATTTTTGTGCAACTTCTATGAGTCTTCCCTCAGTTTAAAGCTTTTCATAGGCTCTGCCCCGAGGCCACTGGCTTGTTTACCATCTGAGTGCTAGTTGCTGAGCTAGTTGAGATGAAACCCATTGTTTACCTCTGAGAGGCTGTGCAGGGAGCTGAGCGATGTGTTCCAGGATAGGCTTCACTGGAGCTGGCGGAACTGCAAGCAAAAGCATGAGGAAAACAGCCAAAAGAGTGATGTTGACACTTTTGACTTGTTCCTGTGATACTAAACAGCACTTTCACCCAGGTGGGTACAGTGTAAGATTGGAAATACATCTTAAATTGACAAATTTTGTGCTATTACATAATCCATATAATCTTCAGATCTAGTAAATGTCTCTGGGTTTTGGTAACAGATACAGCCTTCCCTTAATAGGAATATCCAAGGTGTTCATTCAGCTTCTAAACAACCCTTTTGATTTCTTTTATAAAGAAGAAATGCCAGTGAATCATGCCTTTACTAACTGGAAATTGTTCCCAGTTGATATCTTTGGGGGAGCTGATAGTATGAAATGGAAATTACCTGTACATTAAAGTGATACCTCAGTGAATCCCACATGTGCAGTAGAAGATCCAAAAGTAATAGGAGCAGCAGTGAGAGGGCTCAACAGTGACATGACAGATGGATGAATTTGACAATACTGTGATGGGGAAGAATAATGAGCATGTTTAGGACAGACACGTGACCAGTGTTTTGGGCTAGCCATATATCATTCCAGAGACCAGACCCTTGCACGTGAACTAGACCTTTATCAATATTAGTGAAACTCCCTCCCACGCTTAAAATATTAGAATATCTCAATTTAGAGATTCAAGATGAGTAGGGCTTTTAGGAAGGCTGCAGACAGTCTGATAAGCAATTACAGTTACTCTCCTAAAGCTTAATTCAGCACTACTACCAGTGCTTATGCTGGAGTTTGCAGTTTTCCAGCTTTAAACAAGACTTTCCTTAGACTAGAAGAATCAAGGGCATAGAGACTGAACAGTGAAATTTACTGTGCTGAGTCATGGGGAATGAGATACCTATCAAAACAGGATTTATTCTTATCATAACATGTTATTCCTTGATGAATAAAATAAGAAAAATATATAGTTGGTTATTGCTATTGACTTACACATCTCTTAAATGGATATTTAGATAAAATATTTGCTGGTTTGTAAAGTGTAGACAATTTGAGACTGTTAATACTACTCATACTTGAGCTCTGAGAATGTTCCCTGTACACTAATAATGTTACACTTAATGTTAAGTAAGGAAGCTGGGATATTGTAAAATCTCATTTATAAAAACTCAGACAAGAAGAAATTTATCTTTGATAGTGAGACTGTTGTCTTACTGCAGGAAATTATTTAATAATCCTTGATTACCTATGAATAAAGGTAACCCTGATTTCTCTTAGAATGTATTGCCATAGTCAGCTTTGGCAGTGTTGTTTCAAATAGCCTTGCTTTGCCTCATGCCAAGGAAGCCCAGATGGGGAGGGTATAGTCTTCTTCTATTGCTGTGTGTATATTGAAATACTATTTTTTTTTTTTTTTTTTGCATTTGTTATCTATAATGAACTTTCTGAGCCCTGATACTATTTGGAGAGGAGGAGATAGTGTTCAGTGTTGATGGTGTATGCTGTCCTTCATGCAGGATTTTCTCAGTTTGGAGGGAAATGTGGATATAGTTAAAGTTGACCTTGGGATACTGAATATCATTGCAGCACTTGAACATGTTGCCATGTGAACAATAGAGATTGATTTTGTTGCTCTCTAATATAAGCTGTATTCATGTTTAATTCATTTGAAGAATGAACTGGAGAAGTTTTGTTACCTCTATCCCGGCCTGCCTGACTGGCAATATGGTAGCGACAGACTCTTATAGAGCATCTTAATGAAAACATGGCTGAAAGGAGTTAATGATGATATCTGTAGACCGCATAGAAAATGGTTTTTGTTCCCAGTATTAATATTTTTATTCTCAAGCACATTTCAGTGTTTGCCGAGAGTGGCAGATTCACACCAGGAATGCTAGGTGTTCTTATCCATAGAGTGGATGCAGTACAAGCAGTTGTAACAGAAGCTTTTTCCTACCTGGTACACTTCCTGCATGCCTCAGTCCAGCCCCAAAACAGGCAATAGCAGTCAGTGTGGGCTCCAGGGCGACACCGAAGGCTTGTTGGCTGACCAGGCAGAGTGGCAGCCTGTCGTGGGCATCAGCAGCCTGCTTCCTAAGAAGAGCTCCTTAAGGGTGTTGCCTTTTTTTGGCTAAGGTTTTTCAGGGCACTTCTGTTCCTAACTTCAGGTAGACAAGATGGATGTCATACAAAACGATTTTAAAGTGCTTTGCTTAGAGCATTTTGTTTATGATTGCAATGTTTACATTTCTTATTTAGTAAGAGGCTTTACTTAATTTTGTTACATTTTAGTGTTTAGGAGAGGAGGGTACTGTCTCTATGTAAAATAAGTAACACTTTATGTACTTTATACTGTTATGCCATATGTACTTGCAATATCAGACCTTGCATTCAATACACAATGCAATAGACTCTTTCCAGGCCTGTATTTTTCAGTGAACAATAAAAAGATTGTTTGGCACTACTCATTTCCCATGTTTCCTCTTCTTTGGGATAGTGTATCCTTCAGTGTCTGCTACTACAGTTTTTGTCTCTTGTAAAACTTGGCTGTACATTCTGTTGTTTATGACATCAGTTCTGAGACTTTTGTCAAAGAGAAATTCTTTATCTGATATAAAATTCATAACGCCTATTTCATATCTGTGTGTTCAGAAACACTTTGGTTCAGAGAAGTTCCTTGAGGTGTCTTAAACTGAGCAGAGGAAAATCCTCAAAGATCCTGGAAACTCACTTTGAAAAACCTCCTAAATAATTGTAAAGTAGTGAGTTTATAAAATATCACATAATAGTGGCTGAAGATTGGAGTCAGGTGAAGAGGAGAGCACAATTTAGTTCCTGCCTGGTGACCCTGTGTAGCTTATAGAATCCTTTTGCTTTTCCTCCCCTTGGGGAGGTGACAGTGCAGCGAGGGGGTCAAGCTTGGCCTTCGCCATCGGACAGGATATGTAGGGAATCGTTATGACCTGAAACTCAGAACCATCTGATGCTGGTTCACTCTGGTTTGAAATGAGGCCTTTCTAAGTTCATGCTGATTTTATCATTGGATGAAATATCCTCAGGGACCAAGGGCTCTTTGCTCTTAACGTGTAAGCCAGTGGAAGAGGCACACATTTCTCAGGTATCAGCCTAGATTCGTGTACAGTTTTATTGGCCTTTCCATATTAAAACTATGCCTCTAGTTTAATTATTATTTGTTTGGCATTTAGTTGCAATGGATATTTCCCTGTAACCAGCCTCAACATATGAGAAACCTCCAGTGGAAAGAAGTACATATTTTACTTTCACCTCATTGAAAATGCTGAATAGAAGTAACCACTCAACTGGCTTATGTTTCCAGTTTCAGTAGAATTGGGGGTTCAGTACATCCAAAGTGGCTATAATAGATTATGAGCCTCAACCAGGTTCTGACTTTCAGGCTTAATAAGTTGTAGTTGGTGCTTGTTGCTTAAGTGTGAATCACTATAAATCTTCCTTCTACCTGGTAGTAAAACTATACAATTTTTAGTGCTTGCGCAAAATCAGAAATTGAGTTTACTGTGATTACTCAGGGCTTACCACACACAGAACACTGCTTTAAATGCTTAAAAAGGATGGAAAGGAATAAAATGGTAGGGATCTTTGTCCTTGGAGAACATATAATCTAACTGCACAGATTAAAACACATAAATATTATTTTAAGGCAACTACAAAATGCACTGCAAATTATGAAATATAGAATAGCTTGAATACATAGATGATGCTTAAAATCTTAGGAGCGGAGGAAGGGCATCTGTGTAGGGGATGCAGATCAAGAAGAAAAGGTGATGGCTGAGGACTGAACCCTGGGACACTGGAATTGAGAGGTTGAAAAGGGGAAGAGGAGGAGTCAGTGAGGAAGGAAGGAAAACCAGGGAATGTGGTGGCTTGAGAGCCAGGAGAAAAGGATATCAAATGCTGCTGAAAAATGAGTAAGGACAGGAGAGAGAATTGGTTGCGTATGGGGAGAGGGAACTTGCTGATGACCTTGGTAAAAAGTTTCAACGTAAGAGGTAAGAGGTGAACACCTAAATGAAGTGGATTGCAAAGAATGGGAGATAAGAAAATAGAAACAGTATATAGAGGACAGATATGGCAGAGGGATGAGGTGATAGCTTAAGGAGGATGTGGGGACAAGAGAGGGTATTTTTCTTGTTTTCTTATGATATGGACTGTAACAGCATGTTTGTATGAAGATGGGAATGATTCAGTCAGCAGAAAGAGAAAAACTGAGGATGCAAGAGAGAGGTAGGATAGTTGTTGAAGCAAAGTCCCTAAGGAAGGAATAGAGAGGGAAATTTTTAGCATTAAATGCTTATATTAAATAGGTAAAATATTCAAAATCAATGACTTAAGATTGCACTTAAGAAACTAGAAAAAGAAGAGCAAATTAAAGCTAAAGTAGGCGAAGAAAGGAAAAATAAAGAGCAGAAGTCAAAGAAATAGCAGTAAAACAATGCAAAAAATGAAACAAAAATCTAGTTCTTTGAGAAAATCAATAAAATTCATAAAGTTTTGGCCAGATTGGTAATGAAAAAAGAGAGAAGGGACAAGTATCAGTAATGAGAAAAGACATCACTATAGATCCTACATTATTAAATAATAAAGGAACATTATGGACAATTTAATGCTAATAAATTAAAAAACTTAGATGAAACCGACAAATTTAAAAAATAACACAAAGCTCACTCAAGAATTAGACAATCTGAATATCCCTATATATCTTAAGACTTTATTTTTTCTTGCCTCTTAACATGCCTTGTAATTATTTATTGAAAGCTGTACATCACCTATTTGGTAATAGAAACTGAATTAAATAAGCCTTTAGTGTAAGTTTTATGTTAATCTGGGGAGTTGGACTATATTTAATGTTTGCTGCAGCTGTAAGTGCCAGAGGCTTCAAATTCCTCTAGTGGTCTTGTTTTTGCCTCTCCTCTTGCTTTGGGCTTCTCTCAGTGCTCCTTTTCAGACAAAGTCTGTCTTCCAGCTCATTCAGCTGTAATCCACTGTTATCATACTGGAGCCCTGTTGGTGTGGCAGTAAAATGTGGGGGAGGGGATGTGTCCTATAATCTTAAAATTAAATCTCAGTTTTTTAGTGGACCTGCATTCGTGGGCTAAGAGTTTCTTAGCATCCCCTCCTTCCACCCCCCAGATGAGACAAGAAGGCTAGAGGAGCTGGTGTGGAAGAAATGCCCTTCCGCCAGGTGAGATAAGGCTCTGATGAAGTCTTTTTCCTTGGAGAGTAGGCCTTCGTTGTAGAGAACACTCTGGGTGTATTTTACAGTGATGACACTATTTCTCACTCTAGTCCACACTCAAGACTCCAGCAATTTGTCAAAACTAAAAAGTGTTCCCCCAGTTTATGTCTCCAGCAGCTTCTGTTCCAGATGAGCACATCTCATCTGTGACTCTGGATTCGCCTGTCTCCAGATTTCAGGGTGGTAGTTTGTCCTGAGACTGTAGTTATCTGATCAGTCCAAAAAAATTGTTGATTTTCAGTTTGCTTAGATTTTTCTTGTTGTAAGGATGGGAGTGATGACTTCCAAGCTCTTTTCATGTTGGAGCTAACCAGAAATCTTCTATGTCTATTAAAGAAATTGAATTTGTAAATTTTACAAAGAAAACTAGAAGGCTTTACTGGAAAGCTCTACCAAAGACTTTTTTTTAAGAAAAGAAAAAGAAACACTACCAATTCTACACAAACTCTTCTAGAAAACAGAAGTGATAACGTACCTTCCAATCATTCTATGAGACAGCATTACCTTGATAAGAAAACCAAAGACATTATAAGACAAAAACACCTGCAGACCAATATCTATCATAAACATAGACATAAAAATCTTCAACAATATTTTAGCAAGTTAAATCTAGTAAAATATAAAAAACACAATACACTTGACCACATGGAATTTATCCCAGTGATACAAAATTGATTTAACATACAAATATCAATCAGTTCACCATATTAACAGACTAAAACAAACACAATCATATCAATAGATACAGAAAAAGCTTTTGACAATAACTAACATCCATTCCTGATAAAAACTCTCAGCAAAACAAAGAACAGAATAAAGTAGAAAGGAATTTCTCTAACCTGAAAAGGGGAGGTATCTATGTAAAATCTTCAGTCTTTCATATTTAGTGATGAAAGACTAAATGCTTTTTCCACTAAGATTGGAAACAAGGCAAGGATGTATAGTCACCACTTTTATTCAGCATTGTCCTGGAGAATCTAGCCAGTGCAAAAAGACAAACAAAAGAAACAAAAGTCTTATAGATGGAAAGAAAAAAATAGAACTCTTTATTTGCTGATATGATCATCTGTAGAAAATTCTAAGAAAGCTACAAAAAAAGGTTACTAGAACTAATTAGTGAATTTAGCAAGGTAATAGGATTATTACCTTGCCTGTTTGATTATTTATTTGATTATATTTGGGGGGAAAAAAGTCAATATACAAAAGTGAATTATGTCTTTAAACTAGCAGCAAACTTTTGGAAATTGATATTGGTTGGCTGTCTAGAACTAATTTGCTTCTCAGACTGTCTATAGTGAAGGGCCATTTAAAATATTTTTGGATCTACCATAGATCAATACTTTTAAAAAATATAATAAAAATGAATTATAAAAATGTGATACAGCAGGCACTCATATTACAAACCCAAAATTGTTATTAGATTCAACAGATATAAAATTAAATTTCAGTAAATATAATAAGAACAAACGGAAAAGAATTTTACAAAAATGTACATATTTATAGGCAATTAATATGGAATCACTATTACACTCATAACTTTTTGTTCTGTAATAACTGAACAAAATGTTATAAATGAAATGGCAATTCTCCACATTAAATGCCTATACACACACTATGAAAGAATACCTAGTATTATATCAATATTTAAAATTTTTTGATAATTTGTCAAAGTGATAAATGAACTTCACTGTTTGTTCATTTACTTAAACTAGATTGGGTTGATAACAATGCTACTCGTAGAGAATGAAGCATATCTAAAATATTTCTATGTTTACCCTACTAGATGCCAAAATATACATAAATCTACAATAATGGATATGAATGGAGTTCCAAGACAGGCCCACGTATAAGAATTTAGTATAATAAAATTGGTACTTAAATCGGTGGGGAAATGATCAGCTATTCAATAAATGGGCCTGTTTGATTATTTATTTGATTATATTTGGGGGGAAAAAAGTAAAGTTAGGTCCTTACCTCACTTTCACTATAAAACAAAATTTAGACATAATAAAGATTCAAATGCAAAAACTGAAACCATAAAAGAATTAGAAAAAACTAGTATAATTTCATAATCTTAAGGTGGAGAGAGGCTTTCTCAGCATTGCACCAAGGCTACAAACCAGAGAGAGAAAAATGAACAGATTTAACTACATAAATCTTATTTACTAATTGTGCATTTTTATAGGGTACAGT